ATTTCGAAAAGCACTGAGATAAAATTTTTCTACTACTATTTTTACAATCTTAATTCATTGTAATATGGATAATCATAAAAAATTTCTGCTTCAATAGCAGAAAAATATCTTAACATTTTGGACATTTACTTAATATCCTTAGCAATTGAAAGCTACGTATGCTTGAAGGAAATATGCTTTTTAGAATATCTGTAATTCGAGTTACAGGAATGTGATTTAGCTCCTACTTCTCTGCCCCAATTAAAAAGTTTTTTCAATTTTAATTACTATAATAAAAGTTCATTTTTACACAGAATCGCAAATGTAAAATGCGATATTAAATTCAATTATTATACATAATTGATGCTGTAGCTAAATTAACTTCAGTATTTGCATCGGATAAATCAGGTAAAGACAGCATAACTGGGATCACTTGTATCTTTCCTGAATCGTCTTCTTGTTGCAAATGAACTACAGCACCTGATTGCAGTATTTCATTTGTCATCATTTCGTCTGCCATTATTTCTGCAGATTCAATATTGTCTGCAGTTACTTCTTCTGTATAAACAGTAGTATCTTCCATATTCATTATTACTTCTGCTGCATCTGAAGCTTCCCTGGATGTTTCTTCATACTCCTAACAGAAAATAATACATATAAATTAAAGGAAAATTAATTATTCCAAAATAGTATTAAATTTGATTTACCTGTTCATACACCTGTTCATATTCTTCTGTTATTTCTTGTTCTTCGTACTTAACAATTTGTTCTTCTTTGAAATCTTGGTCTGTCTGTTCTTCGTACTCTCCTTCAGCAACTTGAGATTCTGCATTAGTTATACCTTCTTGTTCTTGATCAGAACAAGAAGAATCTTCTTCAATTTTGGGTTTAATATTTCGACCAGGTACAATTCTTTTAAATCCTGATCCTCCTAAACTTTCGTGACGTCTTTCATGTTTGTTTTTATCACCTAAGTATTTGAAACGTTGTCTGCACACACTACAAGAGTATGGCCGTTCATTCGTATGTGTTCTTTCATGACACACAAGAGCACTAACTTGTTTGCATCTCCATGGACAGTACCTACATTGTAAAGGCCTTTCATCACTATGTCTATTTTGGTGATGTTTAATCAACTGAATTTTTGTCTTTAAGTTAAATCCACAAATCTCACAAGTATATGGTCTTTCTTCAGAGTGAGATATCATATGTGTTTTTAACCTCAGCTGATTCACAAACCTCTTTGGACAGTGAGGACAAGGTAATGTTCCTTCTAGTCTATTGTGAGTTACCATCATATGATGTTTTAATCTCACTTCTGAAGTAAATGTCAACTCACAGTCTAAACATTTCATAGGATCTTTTTCCATGTGAGTGTTCTTAATATGTGTCCTTAAAATCATTTCTGTTTTAAATGTTTTATTACAATGATAACATGATACTCTCTTCTTTTCTGGTGTTCCATCTGAATCTTCTTTCACAACACCAGGAAGAGATTCATTATGTATATGAGACATATGCCATTCTAATGATCTAGTTGAAATCATTGATCTATTACATATGTGACAAGTGTATTGTCTACCGTCTTTATGGACTCGGTTTCTATGTATAACAAGTGTTGAATGGTTTGGAAATTTTTCGCCACACACTTGACAAGAACATTCCTTTAGTCCTCTGCTGTCAGTTTTTTCATGAACTCTCATATGCAATCTCAAACCATCACGTCTATTAAAACCAACACCACAAGTATCGCATCTATACTGTCGCTGATCTTCATGAATTCGTACATGTTGTTTTAAAGTAGAACTGTTTTTAAACATTTTGTCACAGTGTGGACACTGAATAGTATATGCCTTATGTGTATGCATGTGCTTTGAAAGGCTATAAAATGGCACTAATTTGTGGCAAACTGGACACTCACGTTTATTGCCTACTGGTTGATGTTTGCGTATTCTATGATGTCTAAGGCTTGCAGGATTTTTAAAATCTGCTCCACAATCTTCACATAAATAAGCTCTTAAAGTTGTGTGCACAGACTTCAAATGGAAGCTAAGTTTTTGTTTGAATGCAAATTTTTTGGGACACTTTGGACATTGAAATATTTTTTCCCAACTCATATGCTGTGTTTTTACATGTTGATCTAATGTTCCTTGATGTTTAAATTTTTCACCACAAACATCACATAGTTGTCCATACATATTGTCGCAATGTTTTTGTTCATGTTGTCGCTTTTTCCCCTTAGAATCTAACATCATGTCGCAATATTTACATAACTTTTTTTTTATGCAGATTACATTGTGACTCCTTTTTGCTTTGTTCGTTGGAAACTCTTCCATACAATCTTCACAATAATGCATAATTTTGTAATCATGCAGTTTTAAATGTTCTTCGAGTACATCTTTAGAAGCAAAAGTTTCTGGACAATAATCACATTCTAAATAATGCTCTTCTGGAATATAATCTGCTGGTTGACTTTCATCAATTAAGTCGGGTAAACTGTTTTTTAACACAGCGTTATTTCTGTCTTCATACAGAGATATTATGTCTTCATCTTTTAATCTTGTAACAACAATTTTACGTTGTTTCAGATAGTCTTGAAAGTCTTGCAAATTTTTTTCTTTCTCTCCTAGGATTCTTGTTAACTTCTCAATATTTCCTTCTGTATAAGATTCATCAAGTTCTTTTTGAAGAAACTCTTTCTTTTTCTTTGCTTCCTCCCACTTCAGCTTAAGTTTTGCTAAGCGTGATAAATATTCTTCAGTATTTACATAAGTCTTTTCATTAGTAGATTTATCTTTTATAATTTCTGCATTTCCTGAACTATCATTATCATTTTTAATAGTACTTGCATTACTATCATTATTATCTTTATCAAACTGTACATTTACAATTGAATCAATGTCTCCGCATGTAGAGGATTTTTTATTCTCCTGAATTTCACTACGTTTTACAAAACGAGTTTGAGTTTCTTCAAGTTTGAGGGGAAGTGAAATATTAGCATGACCTCCTAATACTTTTTCTCGTTTTTTCTTATACTCTTCGATTTGTTCTTCAATAATCTGCTCTCTCATTTCAGACTTTTTTGTCCGCTCTGGAAAGAGCTCTTTTTCTTTTATGGCTAATGTTTCATACCGTTTCAAGATTTTTTCCATTGGTTTGATATCAAAACTTTTCTTCCCTACAGGTTTCTCTTCTTTTTTCTCTAATGGTTTATCCATCTTTTTAACTTTGACTAATAATAGTTCGTTTGGTTTAGAACCTTTAACAGTAACATACATGATCCCATCTTCCTGATTGCTATTAATGCTTAAAGGATTGTTCAAATCCAATTTTTGTACTTTAACATCTTTATAAGTTCCACCTTTGTCGGAGGCATTAGATTGACATATATTTTCGTCTGTTTCTTCACTGGGTTCTTTCTTTGATTGTAATAAAAGCCTCCTTTTCAATATGTTCGGCTGTTTTGAAGATTCTTTTGTACTTTCACTGTTACATACAGTTTCAGATTTGGATATGCTATATGGTTCAGTAGTACAATTACTACCTTCTGTACTCTTCTCTAATTTGATGTATACATTCGATGATGTATCATATTTATATGTTGTTTGATTAACATCTGTGGTTTTGTTATCTGAAGCAGAATTACTGTCACAGATAAAGACTGGTTGTAAACATTTCTTCAGAATACTATCCTTTTGTTGAATATTTTTCTTTTTCGTGCTTGATATTTGAACATTAATTTCATCATCAGACTCTACAGCATCAGAACTATCAGGTTGAAAAGGTGGATCATCTGGATCAAATTCTTCTATAGACTCATTATCATCACTATTATGATGAAGTGTCATATCTTCGAAAATCTTTACTGTAACATTATTATCAGATTCTCTAGTAATATCTATGGTTTCAATTTTTGTTGAACATTTTTGTTCTTCTTTTGTTAAAGTAGTTATCAAATCTTGTGCAGTCATTTGTTCATTGTGTTTTTTACTAGGATACAGATCAATCGTGTTGCGCTCTTTGCAACTTTCTATCTTTATTTCTGATTTTTCAACATCTACTATTGATTTCATTTTGTTCATCTCTGCATTCTTTGCTGCTGTATCTGCCAAAGAATTGTGAATAGACTTTAATTTTACTTCTGCTTTTTTAATTTGCATAAAAAACTTATAACTCATTTTTAAGTCACAAATACAGTCCATGCACATTTGAGTTGATAAGCTATCATATGGATTTATCTCTTCTAAATGTTTAAGTTGTTGACTCAATCTCATTTGAATACCCTTTTCACTGAAAATATCTACTAATGGAAGTTTTAAACCAGCACAAGTCCTGCAATACTTTTTTAATTCTTGCTTTGTTTGTTCTGATATGCATACCTTCTTTTGTGCAGATATTTTATTGTGAAAAGAAATTTTTGTTAACTCAGTTAAACTGCTAGCATCATGAGCCAATAGTTTTACACGTGGTGTTATCTTTTTTAATTCATTTATATCTTTAACTTGACCAAATGTTTCTTTGTTTGGTACTAATGAAGATTTGTTTAATTTATGAACAGCTTTCACATCATTCGTAGATACATTCGAAGTACTGTCATCAGCATGCTGCAGATTTTCTACTTTTACTTCACTATAGTTGTGATCTCTGTTATTCACTTCAATGTGCTGCATTTTTAATCCAGTGACTTAAATTCTTTGCATCATATGCTTAATATATATTTGTAAAGTGTTTTAATGTCTATATCCTAAAAAAAAGAAAATATAATATAAAAAATGAAAAAGGTATGTGAATAAATAAAATACAAAATTTTACCAAAAACGTAATTACATAGATATGAAATAAATGTTTCTTAATTTTTAAAACTTACAATGTTATGGGTAATAATATTGTATTTACCTTATCATTCAGTACAAAGAAAAATTAATCCTTGTAACACCAGTTGTGCATGTTGCATTTATAATACTTCTTATTTTTATCCAAGTTTTTTTAATATCATACTATAACATGTATTACATGTCATTAATAAAAATTCAATGATTCACAAAAAAGCTGATAGAAATCAAGTATCCTCAATGTTACACTATTGTTATTGCATTAGAGTGTAGTTATTACTTCAATATCACTGATATTTTCAAGTTTCCGAAGTTCACGTTTCTGTTTGTAAAATGAAAAATGCCTTTGACTTCTTCTTTCAAAGCAGACTGAATCTTTTTATTTTCTTCATAAGATAAATATGAAATTATGTTCTCATAAACGCAGGTATTCATTTTTCATTCGAAATTGAGGTTAAGTAGATTTAATTGTAAACTTTACACGTTCTTGCATTCAAACTTGAGGTAAACGTAATTGATGCGTATTACGCCAATTTTTTAATTCATTAATTTTACCTTGTTACACTCGTAACTGGAAAGAGTAATAACATTATTCAAAAGTTTTTCCAAATTTCGCTAATATAATTTCTTCCTAACGATATCCAGATGGCGCGATTCAATGGCGCCTGTGGCGTATGTTATTTTCGACCTACGCAACGGGCATTCTACACTTCCGAAATTCATGACTAGCTTTCAATAGTCATAGAATATTATAACACGGGACACTGTAACAGTAACACATTATAAAGATTCGTCATAGATTACAACCTGAGAGATGTAACTTTCACAACGTAAGACAATTAATCCGCACGCACTTTGAAATAGCAATTTGTGCCACGTTCAACTGTCGTCTACTGAAATTCCTTTACTGTAGCCGTGACGTTGCTAACATTCATAATGGCTGCGTTCGTATTCTTAAAAGTGAACATAGCAAATACAAAAAAGATATTACATTTTTTGTTATAATTTGTTTAGTATTACAAAATAAAACATAATTTAGCATTTTAACAAGAAAGGAAATTACACTTATTATGTTTATATTTATATAAATCCAATTTTTGTGTTTGTATCATTGATACGCATGCGCATATGTATATGATTATAGTATGTAGCCGCGAAAATTTTGGTTTGATTATAGAAATTTTTAAACGTGAGTTATTTATGTTTATTTTAGTTACATAATTTGTTCTGGTTAATGAAACCGATTCTTGAAATATATTTTATGAACATTATTGTTACTGGAATATTCGCAATAATAAATAAGTAATAGGGAAACATAAAAGTGCATATTATGAATTCAAAATATACAAAAATTATAAATGTACATTTCATGAAACATTTTTGTGTTTTAATTATGTGATAACATTTCATTTATTTGTATTTATGTCTATAAGTTTACATAATTTTGAGTCAGAACATGTTTTTATTGAAATATTACAGTGGTGAAAATATCTTTTCACTTTTCTTGTCAGTGTGATAATGATATTATCTAATAAAATGGACAATATATACAAGGTGTCCCACTTGAAGTAACGCGCTTAATTATATCTCTTAAACTCTATCTAAACTATAGTTCATTTAAAAAAATGTTTTGAATGAACCTTATCCTGTTTCAAGAAGGACATCCTATCCTATAATAGTTGTAAATTTTTGCTGAGTGAATGTGTTTCCGAGATTTCAAGGTGACCTTGGTTTTTTTAAAATGGAACTATATATTTTTTGTATGTAACCAGATAGTGCATTTCAAGGTCAATTCATTGAAATATAATATTTTAGTCGAAGGTCGCTCAAGGTTGTTTCCCAACCCAAGAGTTTAACTTCCACGCATCTGACAACGACTTGGGTTTACAAACAGAGGAAATCTCTTCGAAGAAAGCCTATCTCTTAGTTAAGTTTTAAACTTAACTTTAAGGGAAATCTATTGAGAATTTATCACAACTATGTTGGAAATATTAGTATCATTGTGACTAGCAATAGGTGTTCTTCATTTACTATGGCTCATTATACACCCTATGCAGTTTTATGTATGGTCCCAATGACAAATGTTACGCGATTCTTTCTTTTTTTCTTTTGTTCTATTTTCTGATGAAACCACTTTCAAAAACAGTGAGGAATTAAATCGGCATAATTGTCAGTATTGGGCTAGAGAATCTGCATTGGATATCGACATCAGTGGTTGTTAAATGTTTGGTGTAGCATTATGGATAAATATATAGTGGATTTCTAACACTATAACAACTTTCTGAGCAATTAACTGCAAAATCTTTTGGAAGGTGTTTCTTTTGCTTCCAGATTTCAGATGCGGTTCCAGCTTAATGATGTTCCTATCTACAATTATCGTCAAGAAACGCTAAATAGTACGTTCCTTCATTGTTGGATAGGAGGGGGAAGTTTCTCTCCTAGGTCTCCATATTTAATAAAATTTACCATGCAGAACCCACTACTCATGAAAATATACAGGATCGGATTAGAGATGTTTGCCACCAAATTAATAAGAGAACATGAAGGACGTGGAGCTATCACTTAGAGAGAGAATTAATTAATGTATTAATGTCGGATATCCTTTTAAACACATGAGATGAGAAAAGAGCAATTTGTATAACAAAAGCAAAATTCAAGTGGCATTAAATAACTGAACAATCTTGAAATGCCTTATTTGCTTACATAAAGAAGATATACAGTCCTATTAGTAAAAAATCCAAGTTCATCTAGAAATCTCGAAAGCACGCCCACCTAGCAAAAATTTGCGACCATTATAGGATAGGATGTCCCCTTCAAAACAGGGTAAGGTTCATTTGAAACATTTTTTGAAACAAACTATAGTTTAGGAAATAATTGAGTGCATTATTTCGAATGGGACACCCTGTATATTAATAAAGTATCATGAATAATATGAAACTTGCTATTTTCTTAAACAATGAGAACATACTTTCACCAATTCATTAGATTACGATTTTGTGTTAAAAAAAATTTTTTTTTTAATATCTTACAATATATACAGATTGTGAAATATATAAGTATTAATAGTTTTATTTTTTATAAGTTCTTTTTTTATTCATAAAGCATAACATACATTTAAGCAATAAGGGTATTTTATCACAAAAATAGATTAACATTATTTTTACATATTGCGCTATTACACAGAAT